AAAACTATGACCTGTTACAGTACAAACTACATATTACATATGATAAACAATTTAGATGTGTAGTAAATTCTAGAAAAACTAAAGATAGTTTGAAATAGCAGCTTTTATTACCTTTTTCTTTAGCATGAATATCATCACATATGTGTAGATCTAGATGAGAAATCACTAAATGATGGGAGGTTTCTTTAACATCAAAGTCATTGAATAGTTTCACAATTGCATCATTTAGATCAGGAGCATTTGAAGTCTGTGGTGTCTTCACTTGCTGGGTAGATAGGGCTACAGTAGAGCTCTAAAAGATTCAAAACCACCTTATCACTGCAAGTTAAATATCTGACATTCCCCACTCAAGAAAACCTAAATATTTTTAGTAAAAGAGTCATGAAAAATAAGCTAAAACATTTTCTTTTGTATCAGTAACTCAGTTTCCCTAAAACATTTTCTGAATTATATAGGAATAAAACTAAAATCTAAAAACTGGAGAACTACAAAGAACACGAATACAAACTCAATAGGTTTTAGAAAGTATTTGCATAGCTATATTTTCATATTTATAGCCCTTCTTGTTTTAGAAAATATGTTTAATAACTATTAAAGGCAGCTTATTTAAATATTACTAGTTCTATATAAAAAAAGAAAACAAATGTGAGCCATATATACATCAGCTATATAGACTATTAATACATCCTGTAGAAATAAATCCCTGCTTTGTAAAAGCACTTGTGATATTATTTAGTACAAGTGCTCTTGAGCTTTTCATAAGAGGTGTGGTATGTCCTCTGAACTTGGATATTTGAAGCCAGACAGCAGAAGAGATTTATTATAGATTATGAGTTCATACTCTTTTCTCCCTAAAGAGAAAAAAACACAGAATACTGCTGAAGTATAAAGACATTTGTGAACTTCCAGTAGCCTAAAATAATTTTGCATACGTAAGTATACCGTGAGATGATCTGTATATGTTAACCATAGAACTATACATGAAACTTTGGTAACAACAGAATGAAGACTAGATTTTTCATTAAAAGTATTTTTAAAACTTTCTAATTAAGAACAATTCACTAATAAAAGTATAATTACTTACAAAAAATTAAAAGATATATATATACACACACATATATATAGCTTGTATACAATTTACAAGTATCTATTAAGAACTAAGATCATATGTAAAAGAATTTCAAAGAGTACTCAGTAAATGAGAATCTCTCAATGAAAATTAATGGGGCCCATAGAATTTAAAGAAATGCAAAGATGAAATATGGTTGTGAAGCCTTAAATTCTAGAGGCTCAAGTAAAGCTTTATTTACTAAGTAATTATTAAACGGATTTCTATCAGAAAAATCACTTTTTCTTTCTTAGGTTTTTTCCCCTCATCTACTTCAAATGCCTTAACAAACTATTACTTATGTCTGTGATGGTACTCTTTTGAAGGAAAACACTCTCCTACATTTCTTTAAGCATGTTTTCTCTCTTTCAGCAAGATAAGTACTGATACAAATAAAAACATAAGAATTAACCTTCCTACAAACACTTTTCTTCATACTGAAGGAGATTCAGGTTTTTGGATGCTATTTGTAGGGGGAAAAGTGGGATACTATAAGCTCTTATGCCTATGATACCTAATGTAGTGATAAGACAACTACAACCCAAGAAAGAAACTCTATGGTAATGTGAACAGTTAAGTATAACTACTATGAAATATTATGGAATGACAAAAAAATACTAATTACAAATACTAATGACACAGAAGAAAACTATATACAGGCACTTACTATATCCTTACTAAACCTAGGAAAAAATGCAGATGCTTAAGTAAAAAAATCTGTAAGGAAATACCTCAAAGTGCTAATGCTGGTTTTGCTTTGGTGGTAGGATTATAGAATTCTGTCCTTGTTTCTAATTTCCCAATCTGTATCTTTATCTCGTTTCTGATCTATATTCTGTTTTGTAATAAACATATCCACATATTATATAAATAAGAGCTACAATAACATTAACACTTTGTGAATGAATTTCATTTTAGCAAAGTGACATGATTCTTTGCACTCCTTCAAGTTAGATGCCAGGATTCACAAACTTATTATAAAAAAATTTTTATTTTTAATAGTCTTGCAGCTGACATTTATTAAATCCTTCTTCAAATGTGTTAAAGGCAACAAAATGGAAACTACTTAATTGGTTAGTTTGTCATTAGTCATTCACTTCCAACATGGATAGCAATATATCATATTGCCTGTCTCATTTCCCAGAGGTTTTGGGCCCCACCACCACCACCTGGCCACCCTCCAGGATAAATCCATCATAGTAAGAGTGAAGATGAGTAAGAAGAATGCCTTTCATTTGTAAAGTAGGATAAAAGTAATTATGGAAAAGGAGAACCAGTCTGACATCTTAACACAAGAATATTCTCAGATAGACCAAGTTTATAAGAGTACCCATCAAAATGGAAAATGTAAAACTCAGTTTCCTTAAAACTTGGAAAACTGTCACATGTTTACAAGGCATGAGTACCTATTCTCGAGAAAACAGTGCTCTAGTTTAAAAAAAAAGAGAGAGAAAAGAAAAGAAAAAAACCTTATCTTTATCAGAAAACACCATGCTCTTTAACACCATCACTTTTGCAGATTCTATTTCCACATCTGAAATACTCTTTCCCTCACCTGTGAACTTCTTAGTTTTAAGACTTAACTTCATTATTCTCTTTGTAAAACCTTTCCAAACTCTGCAAGCACTTGATTAAGACTTCTCTGTGCTTCTATACAACCCCCTCACGCCATCTTTAATTCTTCACTCTAACATTTATATTGAACTGCAATTTGTTTTATATTTGATTCCCCATAATATTGAGATCCTTGAGGGCAGGGTCAGACAATATTTATTTTTATATCTGCAGTGTCTAGCCCTGCACCTTATGGCAAAGCAAGAAAGCAAGCAAGCAAGCAAGCAAACAAACAAGCCAGCCAGCCAGCCAGCCAGCAGCCAGCCAATTTGACATAGTCACAAGAAAGCCTAAATTCCCATATATCAGGCAGACCACCAACAAGCTATATATCTAAGATATATTACTCTGTTTTCAATGAAATAATTCATAGAAATACGATTTCACAATATCCTTTAAGTTTTTATTAGGTGGATATAAAAAGGTCAATCGTATTTCTTATAAAATTACCAAAAGACACTATACACTGGAATTTTCAAAATCCCAAATCTACAAAATCTTCTGCAAAAATTTTTATATTAAATTCTCAGAATTTAGTACTAGGAAATATTAGAAAATCTTTTTCTTTTCAGAAAAACCTAGTAATGCTTCTGATTTTAAGAAAGTGATCATTAAATAGCTTTCCCCATTTCTGTCCCAGCCATCAGACAATCCTAACAGTTTTGTATTCAACTTCAGCAATACCCTAGGGCTTCAGTTTTCTATTTTAATATTAACCCTCACATTCCCTCACTTGACTATAATTACCCACATTTTTTTCCTTTCCCACTTTAGTAATTTTTAAATTGTACTTCTTTAACTTTCTGAAAAGAAGTATTTATAACATCAAAATACTTTTATGTTATCATTAATCTACTGCCAAGGACAGACCTCCAAACAAAATAAGTACTATATAGATACAAATATATTTCACATACGTTTTCATACCATATAATTTTACATACAAGAGTATAAGAAGATTCTCGGACTCAAAAGTACTACAATATATATCACATAAAGAAAACAATTAATCATTTTGATTTTAAAGCATTTACATGAAAAGTGAAGTGTTTTTGCTATTAACTTAATAGCATACCTGTGTAGGTTCAGGAGCCATACTCTTCCTTTGTTCTGTTGATTTTTCTATTGCTTCACTAAGAGATTTTGCATATTGTACCATAGCCTTTAACTGGGAATCCGTTAAAACCCATAGTAAGTCATCTAATATGAGAACTAACTTTGTTGCAATGACGTTGCAGTCCTTTAACTGTCAGGACAAAATGATTCATAAAATTAAGCCAAGATATAAAACTTACAATACACTTGTATTTTTTAAAAGTTTATTTATTTTAGCTTTCTTTTTAATTGAAGTATAGTCAGTTTACAATGTTATGTCAATTTCTGTTATTTTTCTGTATTAATGGAACTGATTTGCAACAGACATGAAATATATTTCCTCATCCTAGGCTAAAAAAAAGTTTAAAATTTCAGTGGCTTAAATATGGATTCTTCCTTCATTCACCAAATATTTACTGAGTTCCCATAATATGGAAGGAATATCTCTTAGTATTGGAGATACAGTGGTAAAAAAAAAAATAAAGACTGATAGATGCCTGTACCTTAGGTCCAAGTCATACAGGTAACACGTACTTACATAATTTAATTTTTCATTTATAGTTAATAAATCATATAATTACCTACATTAATTCAACCACAGTTGACCCAACCACAGTTGCAGGGATTAATGCATATAACTTATGGTTGGTCCTCCATATCAGAGGTTCCACTGCATCTGTGGATTCAACCAACCTTGGACCATGTAGTACTATAGTATTTACTACTGAAAAAAATTTGCATGTAAGTAGACCCATGCAGTTCAAATTCATGCTGTCCAAGGGTCAACTATAATCCCAGTAGAAAGGGGGGGGCATTAAAATTAATTAAAAACTAAAATGCTATTTTAACCATATTTCACATTTCAGAATATTTGTATTATCATACTCTGAAAAATTCTTTTCAATTCAATTTAGTATAGTGACTTGTGTCTATCACTGCAAAACACATTGTTGAGATTTTAATTCAGCCATGGTTTTAAAAAGTCATTACTTTCCCTCATTAAATTTCATCACAATTCACAGTGGACTCTCAAATTCTGACATCCTTAAGTAACTATCTCCCCTAGTTTTATCTATATTACCAGTCATATCTGAACAGCCTTCTGAGGCTAGTAGTTTTGGTTACTAATAATAAAGGCTTTACTGTTTACCCACTCCTGAGCAACATTCAATGGAAGAAATAAAATTACAAAACAGTTAATGTTCAAAAATATTTGGCAACTGAGAAACCTATTCAATTTATCAAAAATAAAAATCCAAACATTAAATTGAGAAACCTGAAAAGTATTATCATTACACTAGATTTCTTCAAATAGCGCTTGGGCCACCATATTTCCTTTTACTTTGTGCTGTTTTAATGTGGCAATATTTCATCTAAAAAATAAATTTAAAATTTCCCATTAATTCCAATAGTCATCACCTGAATCAAAAAAGGCAACCCTGTTGACTTACTCTTCTTTTAAGTGTAACTCTGATTTTTGACTGGTTGGTTATTAATCGAACAGGAGCACACATAATTTCAAGATGTGAGCTTTGGGTAGCATCTGCCTCTATTCGAATCATCTGCCAATTTATTTCTTTAAATGTCAAAACCTAAAGAGAACACAGAGATTAGCTTCACTTACTCATGCAAAATAGAATGAGAAAAATGTAGATTTGTAAAAATAAAGTTAAATAAATTCTAGATATATCCACTATGCTTTTTTTTGAATTATACACTTCCAAATTCAGTAACACATCTTCATGATTAGATTCATCATCTGTAAAGCTGTTAACACTTTTATTCTAAGTAATTTAATTTTAATACAAAGTATAAAGAACATTCGAATCATGTAACCAAGAAGAATTTTAAAAAAACATATTTTAGTTTTGTAAATTTGAAATTTAATTCTGAGTAGCTGAGAAAATAGGACTCATTAACTCTGTAGGTTGAAAGATTTATTACAGTAAAAACATTAAATTATGCATGTTTTATAATTAAATGATTAAAAGTAATACAGAGAAAGTATAAAGGGCAAATGTAAATCTAGTATCATGTGAATATAAGTAACCATAAAAAGTAACTTTAAATATCCTTTTATGTTAATCAGCAGCTAAAACATTTTTCTAAACAAAGAAAGAAAAAAAAATTTACCTCTCCTCTCTGTGGGTCTTGAATACGAGTAAATCTTAAATCTCCATGTTCCCAGTTTGCATTTACACTATAGATTCGTAGCTGGGAAAGTTCAAAGGATGCATTGAAGGCTTTTGCTCCGATGCGGATGACAATGGAATTTACAGAAACAGTAATTCCCTCAACTACTTTTTCAGCAAAGCCATATTCACTGGGAACACAAAGCAAAACAAAATATAATGCACTAAAGCCAAAAAAAAAAATTAAGAATGAAAAAGTTTTCTGCTAAAATTCTCATACAAAGTACACAAACTGCCATAATATTATTCATTTTTGTTTAAAAATTTTTTCTTAAAACAATAATCTACTCAGATTAGATGTAAGTTATAAAAATGCTCTTCTCAAAATGATAAAAGGTTTTCGAAATTGGAAGTAACTCTAAATTACATTATTATAATCACCATCCAAAGCTGCCTACTCTCAAAAAGCATTAGTGCTAAATTAGGGCTAAATTCTTGACACAAAGAAGGCTAACGAGTCCAACTGGAATATAATCTCACAATTTAGGAATGAGATCAGAAAAAGTTCACATTCCCTAATGCAATTCAACAAATATCTATTGAGCATCTAGAATGTGAACGATGCTAGGACATAAGGAAAATCCAAGTAGAGTTGTGGCATTACAGGGCTTGCAAGTTACTTGGGGAGGGAAAAAAACATATCCTAGTAACTTAAACATGAGGCAGTCTGTAATTAAGTACTCTAAAAAAGGAATCATCTGTATACTTGGTAGAGGAAGAAATTGCTTATAACTAGGGAGAAATATATCCAGGAAAGAAAGATGAAGTTTCTACATGGAAAAATGAGAAGTAAAGGAAACCTTAAAATTGGGAAAAGCATGAGCAAAGATACAGAGAAGTAAGAAAGTAGAAGACATGTTTCAAGAATAATAAGTAGTGCAGTATGACTGGAATACAGACTATCTTATCTATACATTTTGGCAGGGGGCAATAAATTGTGCTAAATTGGTACCTTACTTCAATTATCATCAATGTGACCATTATTCCTAAATCTGTCTTTAACCAGATTTCTTGCCAGAACTTCAGACAGTAAAATCCAAGTGTCCACCAGAGAGCTCCACCTGGCTGACTCACATATTTCAAAGCCAACATGTATAAAAGTAAGCCCATCATCTTTATTGATCATGTGCATCTCTCCTCTATACCTGCTGCTATACTTCCTGATTCACTATCTTATTGAATAAATAATATAATTTATCTTTTCTAAGATTTAGATGGCTTATCTTTTAAATCAGGTAATACTGTTTAGGTTACATGTGGACTGCATGAAATAATGCATTTGACTCAAACAGCACAACTTTTGACTCATGATACTGAAAAAAAGTAACTATTATTTATTATATTATAAATAACAGTATGTTATTATTAATACTATTGGAAGTTTAAGGCTTAGTTTCCTCATGTGTAAAATGAAAACAATACCTATTTCAAAAGGTTGCTGTGGTCCTTAAATGCAATGACATAGGTATAGTAATTTATATAATCTTTGGCTTGCCTGATGTAATTTTGCTATTAAAAAAAGGTGGTTGTCTACATTGTGTTTAGAAAATTGAGAACTGAAGAGGAAGAACTCACTAGCATCCTAGGGAGGAGCTGCTTTGATTCTAGGGACAAATGTTGGTCAATTAAACAGAAGAATTCCTAGAGTTGGAAGAATATTTATATAATAATGTGGGAACATACTTTGGAATATCCAACCCCATCTACTCTCATCTATGCACAGTAAAGAGTATTACAATTGTACTGGAGGATTTACAATCAGAAGGGTGAAGCTTGAATCAATAACTAAAGTCTATATATTTCTGTCATCCATTATATGTCATCCATTATAAATTAAAAAGTTGAAATTTCAGTTTACAAATAAGTCTCTTCTGAGTTTGGTCAGTCTTCACATAGGTATTTATCTCCTCCAAGTGAAGAGATAAAATCATATTTCTGAACATACAAAGTTTACAAGACCATCAATCTGTGGGAGCAATGTTAGCCTATAGGTCCTGCACAGAAGGAAGGGCCAGGTTGTTAATTCTTAATCTGCTTCTATTTTAATCCTTGGCTAGAAACAAAATCAAATAGATCAGTGTTTCCCTAAATTGCGTGAGTGTAAAGAATTGTTAAAAATATATATTCACATTTTTGATAACCATTGTAGACCTCTAGAATTATAATTTCAAAAGGAGCCTAAAAAACTCTATAGATTTAATAAGCATCCTAAAATGAATGCAACAATCAGGCAAGTCAGGAAAATATAGAAAAAGATTAACCATATTGCCATACATCAAAATATAAGGATTATCATCATATGATTACAAAGCCAAAATTATAAAGCTTGTTGTTGATACTATAAAAACACGACTTAGGAAGAACACTATCAACTACACTTAGCACACAATGACAAAATACCTCATTTCTGTCACACATAATTAAAATGTCATTCATTTATACCAATTTTCCTGATCTTTTGCCCTTAAAAACATCTCTATGTTTCCTCCAAGTTTCAGACTCTAGCCAATTTAAAGACCAATTGCTCCAATCTACTCTAACCTGAAATCATAATCTGAACTTCAAAATCTCAAATCGCTGGATAAACTGTATAGCTGATAAATCTGGCCTTCAGTCAACTCCGAGCAGTGGATGGATCACCATTAGATTCCCAAGTGAAAAGTCACTGATCAGGCTGAAGGTATTCTCACAGAATGTACTAAGGTAAAGGTGATTCAACTCTGGTGAAAAAGCTCTCCTCTTAACAGAGAAACAAAGTGAGGGGGAGAAAGAGAGAGGGTGAGAGAGGGAAACAGAGTGTGTATGTGTGTTTCTGTATGTGTATGTTCGTCCTCAAGAAGAATTTATCACGGGTTTTATACAGCACCTAGAATACTATAAATGTTCAGGGCTGCCATGTTGTACAATTTGAGGAGGAATTAATCACATTAAAATCTATGTGAACTTTTTATGTGAATAGCTGTACAATCCAAAAGTAGGGCGGAAAACCTGCTTTGAGGAAATGATGTGTAACACAAGGCCCAAATTTACTGAATGCAAAAATAAATAGGCAATTTTTAAAAGATCTATTTTTTAATAACTATTCTAACTTCCAAAGCGGCTTGTGAAATGGCCCCCGTGCTTCTACTAGCATCTGATTTTTATCTATCAAAATTCAGCATGTGTAATCCAAAGATCTATAATTTTTTAAGGCACAAACTTAACTCTTAAGGGTCATAAAACTTTCATTGATGCACAGGATAAATGTTATGAAGAGAAAGTATTCAGAGACCAAGTAAGAGACTGTTTTATAGAATGCCGAAGCTCTTCTGCTTTCAGTTTCTGCTACTGCTCTGTCTTCGATTAATCATCATTATTTAACACAAGGGAAGCAAGATGAATAAAAAGGCTAAATATCAATTCTGTGGCTTTGCAATGTATTTACTAAAACTGCAAAATGTTTGATGGGAGAAGAACTGAAACAGAGACTCAAGTGAAGGGATTTTATTTTATGTCCCATTATTACTTGATAACAGAGCTTACGATAGAAAAAAATTCCCTTGGCCAGTCGTACAGATTAATGGAAATAGCTTACCTTTGTCCTGAAGCAGTTGCAATTGGTGATGGGCCATTAGGGTTTCGTGGTTCTTCACATGTACTCATTTCCATTATTACTTTATCCAGGGACTAATAAAAATACATGAAAATATAATAATTAGAAATTTTATTTTATGTATATTATCAAAATATTTAAAACTACTTTCTCTTTCATTTCTTTAGTAGCAAAGTTAACAGTAAGTAAATTGAGTTATTTTAAATGTATCTATAAAGGTCTAAAAGGAGAAATAGGAAAAACAAAAACAAAAAGAAAGTGCTTAGTCCTTTCTCAAGGCACTTATTATCTGGTGGAAAAACGATGCTCATTACAGGAATATGGGAGAGAAAAACTATGAGAGATATATACTGATAAGATCATAAGGTTTGATAAAAGTATAATCGCTAATCCCAGAATGTACATTAATTGATAAATTAGATTATTTATTAATTAACAGGACTAAACCAACCACCTCTAAAAGATTATCCTAATCTAAAACCTGAGATTTAAAGCACATAACTATGAAAAATATGAAATATAAAAGAAATGTGAAAAAATTAATATTCTCATAATGAAAAACTTTCTTAGGCTAATTTTTTTCTTGAAGAAAAATCAAATGTCCTTAGTAGTCATCTCTAACATAACTCCAGTTATTCTTCATTCTCCATTTTAATACAGCACTTATTATCGGAAACTGTCTTCTTGTATTTGTGTACTTGTTCATTGTCAGTCTTCTTATAAAAATATAAATTCCCTCAGGGCAGAGGAGAGGTGTTCAATAAATATTTGTGGAATGAATGAATCTTTCTTTAATTTTCCTTAAAAAGAAAATTGTATTAAAGAACATATTATTTAATTTATTTGATCCATAAAACCAGAAAACAAAAAGTCTGGATCAATTTTATTAAAAGAAGACTCTTATAGTATGTCAATAAGGAGTTAAATTAATGCAACAAAATATACCAACTTAGAACATAATATTCTAGACCTGAAAAACTTTAAAGACCCTTCCATTTTAAAATTCAAACTTTTCATTTAAGGACTGAGAGACCTAAGTACCCTCAAAATAAAATGAAAGTGGAAACTAACTAGTGGGAAGTCCGAAGATTATGTTTATATGAAACAAAAGATT